AGTTGACATGACACCGTTGGATGCCAGCTCAGTGGTCTAATGGTTAAGTGCTCGCGCGCGAAGCCAGTAGGTCCTTGGTTCGAGCAACGGGTGGTGTGGGGTCGTGGATGCGCACTGCTGAGGAGTCCCATACTAGGACGAAACGGCCGTCCAGTGCTTCCAGGTTTTCAACGGTGGTCTAGCTTCAACTGACTCATGAGTTCAATCTGTGAAAATTTCTAAAAATCTCCACAAAACACATTCTGATAATAATAATCACCTGCTCACTAGTGACTGACTTCAGGAGACACTTCAGGAGTTCTAGTGAGAAGTCGTTACCAGTGGAGTTGAACCAGGTCTGTTGTGAGATAGGAACTCACTGAAGACAATGGTGTACGGTGGCGCAACTTCGTGGATTGGTTGAAGTTAGACATTAACACCGTTGGATGCCGGCTCAGTGGTCTAATGGTTAAGTGCTCGCGCGCGAAGCCAGTAGGTCCTTGGTTCGAGCAACGGGTGGTGCGGGGTCGTGGATGCGCACTGCTGAGGAGTCCCATACTAGGACGAAACGGCCGTCCAGTGCTTCCAGGTTTTCAACGGTGGTCTAGCTTCAACTGACTCATGAGTTCAATCTGTGAAAATTTCTAAAAATCTCCACAAAACACATTCTGATAATAATAATCACCTGCTCACTAGTGACTGACTTCAGGAGACACTTCAGGAGTTCTAGTGAGAAGTCGTTACCAGTGGAGTTGAACCAGGTCTGTTGTGAGATAGGAACTCACTGAAGACAATGGTGTACGGTGGCGCAACTTCGTGGATTGGTTGAAGTTAGACATTAACACCGTTGGATGCCAGGGTCAGTGGTCTAATGGTTAAGTGCTCGCGCGCGAAGCCAGTAGGTCCATGGTTCGAGCAACGGGTGGTGCGGGGTCGTGGATGCGCACTGCTGAGGAGTCCCATACTAGGACGAAACGGCCGTCCAGTGCTTCCAGGTTTTCAACGGTGGTCTAGCTTCAACTGACTCATGAGTTCAATCTGTGAAAATTTCTAAAAATCTCCACAAAACACATTCTGATAATAATAATCACCTGCTCACTAGTGACTGACTTCAGGAGACACTTCTGGAGTTCTAGTGAGAAGTCGTTACCAGTGGAGTTGAACCAGGTCTGTTGTGAGATAGGAACTCACTGAAGACAATGGTGTACGGTAGCGCAACTTCGTGGATTGGTTGAAGTTAGACATTAACACCGTTGGATGCCAGCTCAGTGGTCTAATGGTTAAGTGCTCGCGCGCGAAGCCAGTAGGTCCTTGGTTCGAGCAACGGGTGGTGCGGGGTCGTGGTGCGGGGTCGTGGATGCGCACTGCTGAGGAGTCCCATACTAGGACGAAACGGCCGTCCAGTGCTTCCAGGTGTTCAACGGTGGTCTAGCTTCAACTGACTCATGAGTTCAATCTGTGAAAATTTCTAAAAATCTCCACAAAACACATTCTGATAATAATAATCACCTGCTCACTAGTGACTGACTTCAGGAGACACTTCAGGAGTTCTAGTGAGAAGTCGTTACCAGTGGAGTTCAACCAGGTCTGTTGTGAGATAGGAACTCACTGAAGACAATGGTGTACGGTGGCGCAACTTCGTGGATTGGTTGAAGTAAGACATTAACACCGTTGGATGCCAGCTCAGTGGTCTAATGGTTAAGTGCTCGCGCGCGAAGCCAGTAGGTCCTTGGTTCGAGCAACGGGTGGTGCGGGGTCGTGGATGCGCACTGCTGAGGAGTCCCATACTAGGACGAAACGGCCGTCCAGTGCTTCCAGGTGTTCAACGGTGGTCTAGCTTCAACTGACTCATGAGTTCAATCTGTGAAAATTTCTAAAAATCTCCACAAAACACATTCTGATAATAATAATCACCTGCTCACTAGTGACTGACTTCAGGAGACACTTCTGGAGTTCTAGTGAGAAGTCGTTACCAGTGGAGTTGAACCAGGTCTGTTGTGAGATAGGAACTCACTGAAGACAATGGTGTACGGTAGCGCAACTTCGTGGATTGGTTGAAGTTAGACATTAACACCGTTGGATGCCAGCTCAGTGGTCTAATGGTTAAGTGCTCGCGCGCGAAGCCAGTAGGTCCTTGGTTCGAGCAACGGGTGGTGCAGGGTCGTGGATGCGCACTGCTGAGGAGTCCCATACTAGGACGAAACGGCCGTCCAGTGCTTCCAGGTGTTCAACGGTGGTCTAGCTTCAACTGACTCATGAGTTCAATCTGTGAAAATTTCTAAAAATCTCCACAAAACACATTCTGATAATAATAATCACCTGCTCACTAGTGACTGACTTCAGGAGACACTTCTGGAGTTCTAGTGAGAAGTCGTTACCAGTGGAGTTGAACCAGGTCTGTTGTGAGATAGGAACTCACTGAAGACAATGGTGTACGGTGGCGCAACTTCGTGGATTGGTTGAAGTTAGACATTAACACCGTTGGATGCCGGCTCAGTGGTCTAATGGTTAAGTGCTCGCGCGCGAAGCCAGTAGGTCCTTGGTTCGAGCAACGGGTGGTGCGGGGTCGTGGATGCGCACTGCTGAGGAGTCCCATACTAGGACGAAACGGCCGTCCAGTGCTTCCAGGTTTTCAACGGTGGTCTAGCTTCAACTGACTCATGAGTTCAATCTGTGAAAATTTCTAAAAATCTCCACAAAACACATTCTGATAATAATAATCACCTGCTCACTAGTGACTGACTTCAGGAGACACTTCAGGAGTTCTAGTGAGAAGTCGTTACCAGTGGAGTTGAACCAGGTCTGTTGTGAGATAGGAACTCACTGAAGACAATGGTGTACGGTGGCGCAACTTCGTGGATTGGTTGAAGTAAGACATTAACACCGTTGGATGCCAGCTCAGTGGTCTAATGGTTAAGTGCTCGCGCGCGAAGCCAGTAGGTCCTTGGTTCGAGCAACGGGTGGTGCGGGGTCGTGGATGCGCACTGCTGAGGAGTCCCATACTAGGACGAAACGGCCGTCCAGTGCTTCCAGGTTTTCAACGGTGGTCTAGCTTCAACTGACTCATGAGTTCAATCTGTGAAAATTTCTAAAAATCTCCACAAAACACATTCTGATAATAATAATCACCTGCTCACTAGTGACTGACTTCAGGAGACACTTCAGGAGTTCTAGTGAGAAGTCGTTACCAGTGGAGTTGAACCAGGTCTGTTGTGAGATAGGAACTCACTGAAGACAATGGTGTACGGTAGCGCAACTTCGTGGATTGGTTGAAGTTAGACATTAACACCGTTGGATGCCAGCTCAGTGGTCTAATGGTTAAGTGCTCGCGCGCGAAGCCAGTAGGTCCTTGGTTCGAGCAACGGGTGGTGCGGGGTCGTGGATGCGCACTGCTGAGGAGTCCCATACTAGGACGAAACGGCCGTCCAGTGCTTCCAGGTGTTCAACGGTGGTCTAGCTTCAACTGACTCATGAGTTCAATCTGTGAAAATTTCTAAAAATCTCCACAAAACACATTCTGATAATAATAATCACCTGCTCACTAGTGACTGACTTCAGGAGACACTTCTGGAGTTCTAGTGAGAAGTCGTTACCAGTGGAGTTCAACCAGGTCTGTTGTGAGATAGGAACTCACTGAAGACAATGGTGTACGGTGGCGCAACTTCGTGGATTGGTTGAAGTTAGACATTAACACCGTTGGATGCCAGCTCAGTGGTCTAATGGTTAAGTGCTCGCGCGCGAAGCCAGTAGGTCCTTGGTTCGAGCAACGGGTGGTGCGGGGTCGTGGATGCGCACTGCTGAGGAGTCCCATACTAGGACGAAACGGCCGTCCAGTGCTTCCAGGTGTTCAACGGTGGTCTAGCTTCAACTGACTCATGAGTTCAATCTGTGAAAATTTCTAAAAATCTCCACAAAACACATTCTGATAATAATAATCACCTGCTCACTAGTGACTGACTTCAGGAGACACTTCTGGAGTTCTAGTGAGAAGTCGTTACCAGTGGAGTTGAACCAGGTCTGTTGTGAGATAGGAACTCACTGAAGACAATGGTGTACGGTGGCGCAACTTCGTGGATTGGTTGAAGTTAGACATTAACACCGTTGGATGCCAGCTCAGTGGTCTAATGGTTAAGTGCTCGCGCGCGAAGCCAGTAGGTCCTTGGTTCGAGCAACGGGTGGTGCGGGGTCGTGGATGCGCACTGCTGAGGAGTC